CAGCATTTGTCTCATTCTTTTTAATGATTGCATAATATCCCATTATGGGGATTCATATATTCATTTAACAAATACTGAAAACCTGCTCTGTGCCAGGACTTGTAGGACCCAGGGATATAGCCATGAATAAGACTGAGTGGTCTGCCAGTTAGTGAACTCATATTTTATATTTAGTAGCCTTTACTCATGGACATTCAAGTTGTACCCAGCCTCTTGCACCAAAGACTGTGGTGCTGTGACTCCTCTGTGTGCTTGTGAGAATACATTTGAAGGGGTTCCTGCAAGTGTTATTGTTAGGTTAAAGCACTCACATGCCTTTAGGATACTGAGAGATGGTGCCACTTATACTGCACAAGGGTGTGTGGTAAGGTGAGATTTTATGCCCAGAGTGTGGTAACTCAGGCTCTGTTGGTCAGCCCTGCTTCAGGTCCTGCCAGGACCTGAGAACTATTTATATTCCAACCTTGCTGGACCAGCAGGACCTTAAAGGTCATCCTTCTGGAGCCCACTGGAATTCCATGTCCTCTCTACACCATTCTGGGTGGACGAGTGGGCAGCTTGAATCCTCACAATGTCTTACAAAGTTGGTATATCACTTCCCATTATGTAGGCAGGGAAGCTGAGGCCCAGATAGATCTTGAGACTCACCAAGGCCAGATAGCAAGTGACAGGGCCTGGACTGAAATCTGTCTGTCACTGCGTCCTGTGCTCATCCCCTTATATTGTCACAATAAGAACAGCAGCAGAAATAATAACCATCTGATGGTTCATTGAAGACTTATTTGATAGCCAGGCAGGGCAAAGTGCTTAACAATTTACGACTTGTTAATTGATATGAATCTCAATACTCTGGGAGGCAGATATATTTTACTTCCATTATAAAAGTGAGGAAATAGAGAAATCAAGCCACTTGTCCAGGGTCACAGAGCAAAGAAGTTAAACCCAAGATTGGCTCACTCTAGAGCCCACATTCAGTGTCCTCTCTCCAGGCCAGTCACTATTCATTCATTTAACAAATTTCTTACTTACCGATTACCTGGCATATGTCAGGTACTATTCTAAATGCTGGAGATACCCTAGTGAATAAAAAAACAGGTCACTGCCCTCACAGAACTGACATTTTAGTTGGAAGAGAGAAGCCATAGCCTGGTAAACAAATGGGTAGGTCATATAATTTCAGGCAGGGGCAAGTAAGTGACCACCCACTGAACAGACAAGGAATATTTAAGCTTAGAGGACACACTTCAGCCAAGACTCAAAGCCAGGATATTCAGTCACAAATGCTGATTGGACACTGGGATGAGTACTGGGTGTACTGTACTATGCTTAAGCAGATGTATTGCCTCTCCACACCACATATGTTTCTTCCCGTTGTACTGTGCCAGGTGAATGGTCCTGCCCTGTCTCTGTTCTTAGTATTTTAGTGAAATCTGTTCCCTGGTTCCCTGGAGCAAGAGCTAGGTCCTGGCTTCTCTCCTTGGCAGAGCTGGAAGTCCCTGGGAACTGGGAACTCTGAAGGGGCAGGGTGTCCTCTGTTTTTGTCTGTCTTAGCTTCCCTGAGAAGGAAGGGCCCATGTGTCACTGCGTTACCAGGCTCTTAGGCCAGGGGTTTGGCTGGGGAGAGGGTGGACACCAGCTGGTCTCTCCTTGGAGTCTCAAGAATGCTGGCCACAGGGGCCATGGTGCCCTCAGCTCTCCAGGCCACTGCCTTTGGGCAGCCCCACCCTGCCTGGTCAGGTGACTCATGCAGAAATCAGAGCAGAGAGGAAGCCTCAGAGCTAGGCTATTTATGGCCATACTCTGGGGCCCCCAGAACCCTACCCCCACTCTGGGACAGGCCAATTGGTTTGTGAAATCCAAGCCCTGTTTTGGGCACCAGCCGTTGTGCTGTCCATTTATAGCATGTTCTTGTGGGAAAAGAGAAGGAGGACCCAGTTCCAGGATGGCCTGGGTGAGCGAGGACTCCAGCAGTTTGTCTGGTTTCAAAGTTGACAAATGTTCATTTGCTAAGCATGTAGCATAGGAAATCCCTGCTCGATTCTGGGGACTCAGAGATGAATCAGGCAAGGCCCCCCTGCCCTCCTAGTACTCCCAGACTGGTCGGAGACACAGACATACAAGGAAAAGGGGTCTAGGGGACTGCAAAATGAGTGTGGTGGATCCAGAGTAGGCATGTGGGAAGGCATCTTGGGGGAGGTAATGTCTGAGCTGAGCCAGGACCTAAGGCTGTGGTACCTTCTCCCTCCTGCTGAATGAAGCTCTCTTGCCTGGCGTTCATCTCTCCATTCACAGAACCCTGACTTTGGGTTCAAATCAAGCTGGGCTTCTGTCCTCTAGGAGCTCCCATCACTAATGGGAGAGGAACCCCAACATACAAAGTCACAACAGAGTTCTAAGAACTGCAGGCAGGGATGGTGTATTGGTAAGAAACTCGTATTTCTTGAATCCTAACCTGTGCCACGTGTTTTACATCATCCTGTTTGATCCTGACATCTCTCTGAAGTAGATGTTGTTATACCTCTTTTACTGACTAGCAGACTGAGGCCCAGAGAGGTGAATTACCTTGTCCGTGATCACAGAGCTGGACAGTGCTGGAGCTGCAATCAAATTCAAGAGTGCCTGTTTCCAAACCATGTACTAAGGGCCTTCTGTACAGCCCAGTCAGGCCAGTGAAATACAAGACATCGTGGAAATCTTTACCTCTTTGATAAAAGGGAGGTATGAGGAGACAGCCCTTTATCTGCCTGTCTTCCCTTCCTGCTTTGGGTTTTGTTATGTAAGGAATGATTGCTTTAAGCTGTAGCACCCATCTTGTGACCCCTAGAGGAAGGCCAAGAGAACGGCAGAGAGGTCTACCCTGAATCCAGTGTCACTGAGCCGCTGAATGAATCCTGAAATTGCCTTCCTCTAGACTTCTTGTTGTAGGAAATCAGAAATATCTTTATTATGTAAGGCACTATTATCATTATTCTATTATTTGCAGCCAAATTCATCTATTTGTTATAGCAAGAATGACAAAAGTATTTAGTTAACCAGTCAGGCTTAATTGATTGGTAATGGCTGCCATAGAACATTATGAATGATTCATGATGTCTTCCAAGCACAAGGGCAAGGGATAAATATATGGTAGCACAGTGTCATATGTTTACCATCCCAGTCCTACCTCAGGCTAGTCCAGGACCTGGCACATAGCAAGTGCTCAAGAAAACTGACTTGGAGTCTCTGAGTCTCTGCTCCCACCAAACTCTTTTCAGATCAACTGAATTTAGGGCCTCATCATCCTCTGTGGTCAAAAAGTGACTGTCACTGCTCTAGGACCAACTTCTGTTTGTCATCATGTTGTTCTTCAGTTCTAACTGCCACGGTTAGTGAGATCTTCCTTTTCTAGAAAGGCACGGGATCTTGGTGCCAATCAAGAGTCTTTTGGCTGCAAATACCATGACTCCATTTGGGATGGCAGCCCGACTTTGTAAAGGGATGAGTATCAGAAACTGGGACATATGCAGGTGCCTGCTAGGGCTTTCCTTCTGTCTTTCACCGAGCAACGTCCACCATTCTGTCTCTACCAACCAGCTTCCTCCTCTTCTTTTGTCCCCTCAGCAGAAAGTGGTTGCCCCTGTAGCATTCAAATTTGTTCAAGACACCCATCGAGGATCTCTCCTGGTCTCAATTTGAATAACCTTTGCAGGTCAGGTGTTCACCCTTGATCCAGCTGGCATAGCCAAGAGGGCAGGATCACATATCAGAACATGACTTGATGGGTCATTTGGGCATCAAAGTATGTCTGGGCTGTTATTCTAGAACTGTATTGTCCAATATGGCACATTAGCTCCAAGAGACTTTTAAATTAATTAAAATTAAATAAAATTAAAAAATTCAGTTCCTCATTTGTACTAGTCACATTTCAAGTGCCCAGTAGCCTCATTTGGCTAGTGGCTACTGTATTGGACAGTGTATATATGTATATATGTGTGTGTGTGTGTATAACATTTAATAATCACAGAAAACTTCGTTGGGCAATGCTATTTAGAAATTGTATAATATAAAAGAATAATGATATCACTCACTGAGTGATAGTTGGTGAGAGCTACGAGGGCTCCTGGGCACCTATATTGGTTAGGGTACAAGCTATGCTGCTACAAGAGATCCATAAAATACTGTGGCTTAAATATAACAGAAGCTCCTTCCTTCCTTAGGTGACAGTCCAAGTTTGAAACGGCATCTCCAAAGTGGCAGCATCTGTTTATTTCTGTTCTGTTGGTCAGCCTTATTTAGAATGTGGCTCATGTCTTCATGGTCAAAATGGTGGCCCACCTGTGTTCCAGGCAGCTTAACCCTGTCAGGGGTAAAGAAGAGGAAGGAAAGGGTGTGTGCTCTCTGGGTTAATGGGCAAAACTTGATAGCTACACACATCCTTTCTGCTCTCATCCTATTGGTCAGGCTTGGTCACGTGGGTTCAGGAGCCTGGAAAATGAAGTTTAATCTGGAAGGCTATCACTGTCTTGGAGGACAATTAGCAGCCTGTACCATAGGACTATCTCATTCAACCCCTCCTCTTTGCAGATAAGAAGACTGAAGAGATAGAGGAAAACAATGTGACAGTGGCAGAGCAGTCACATCTCCTGACTCCTGTCTTGTGCTCTTTTCACTGCCTTGCTGCAGCTGTTGTCCATTACCTTAAGCAGCCATCCTGAAGGTCCAAACACTTCTACTTAACTTGGTTAGAACTTAGTCACATGGCCATACTAGCTGCAAAGGAGGCTGGGAATTGTAGTCTTTCTTCTGGGTTGGCCATGTGTCTGTAAACCAGAGGAAAGTGAGAGAATGGATGTTGGCATGCATCCAGTATTTTCTACCACACCATCCTGTCAGACTTTAGTCTAGAGGAGCATAATGATACTGGGCATAAATTAAACTCTTAATGAATTAGTGACACTTGTAATGTGTGCTACATGGGAGTCCATGTCACAGTGGTAACTGCTGACCTGTCCCCTGACCAGTCAAGTACATGAAGGAGGTCTCACCATATTTCAAGAACTCTACCAGCGGGACCTCAGTTGGCTGGGACTTGCCTCCTGCTTCACCCCTTCAGCAGCGGCAGCCTTCGTCATCTGGCCCCCCACTCCGTGACCTCAGCGATGCCAAACATGTGTCCTTGAAGATGGCATATGTCTCAAGGAGGTGCACCCCCACTGATCCGGAGCCCAGGTAAGCCTAGGGTGGGGGCAACTCAGAGAGACATGCCCTGGTGTTAAGTGGTGGAGGCACTGTGTTGCAAATGATGCGCACAGTATCTGAACAGAGTGGGGCCTCAGAAATGTTTGTTGAATCCATGCAAGAGTCAAGTTATGGAGATGATGATATGCTTTGCTTCTCTCTTCTCTTCGTCTTCTGGGCAGTTCACATCTGAGGAGGCACTTGGTCTGCGGAGGAGCCCTGGATTCTAGTCTTTGTTCTCCTTAAACTAGTCCATTTTTCTCACTGACCTTTAGATTCCTTCATTGTGAAATGAGGTTGTTGGACTCAGTGATCCCTTTAAGTCTCTTCTGACTCTGCTGAGATTCTGAGACGTCTGGTAACGTTTGTGTCAGGGCCATAGAAGGTTACCATCCTACACATCTGAGCAGCCCTTAACAGTTCACTGATGATAAGATTGATACCAGCCAACATTGCACAATTTCCTTTAACTCTCACAGCAATCCTATGAGCAAGGTCCTATTACTTCAGCCCGATTTTATAGATGAGGACAGAGAGAGGAAGTAACCTGCCCAAGATCACACAGCCAGGAAGGGATGAAACTTGCCTCATTCCAGGCAGCCCTCTCTGCTTTAGAAGTTGCAGGTGCCTGGGTGATGGTGGTGGTTGAATGGAGCATATGTTGATCAAATAGGATATGCAGGATTGGGGGTAGTATACATATTGAGTGTGGGAGCAAAAGGTTTGTGCTGTTGGTCCTAGTTACAGCCAAGGTTCAATGCCGGGCAAATGCTTAACAGTGGCCTGAAGGGCTGATTAATGTTCAGCATCCAGGTCTCCTGATCCTATTTGATGTTGTAGCCCAGCCTGCTCCCATGAGGCATGAACTGGTAATTGACAGATCACTTGTAGGTGCCCACTTGAAGGGGCTTTGTGTTGGGTGAGGGTGAAGTGGTATTAATCCTCCCTGAGACTCCGAGAGCCTTGGGTTAATCATGATTTCCAGCCTGTTCCCAGATACTACCCGGAGCATGTATGTCCAGGTATTTCTATGAGTTTGCATGTGTAGATGGCATGTAAATACAAGTGTTTTTGTGTATATGTAAACATTTGCCTGGGTAGGGGTGTAGATTTGTGCATATGTGTTTGTGTGTTTTTTTGTTAATATTCATGCATATATGCCTGTTTGTATATGTGATTGACCATATGTACATATGTAACTAGATGTGTAAATTGAATATAATGGGGGTTCCATATAAGCGCCATCTCCTGGTTAATGAAACATAATCTGATAACCAAAATATAATGAAAAATATTTCAAACTTTTACTTAGTGTTAGGATTACATCAGGTTGCAAGTATCAGAAATCCCAATAAGCAATGACTTAAATAAATGATGGGTTTATTTTTCCACATGTTTATACAGAAGTCCAAGGTCAGCTATTGGGGCAGCAGTAGCTGATCAAGAATGCCCTCAAGGAATCAGGCATCCAAATTCATCATCTGTATCTTTATTGTGGATTTTCTTCTTCTTGGTGGCGGGATGGTGGCTGCACCTCCAAGCATGTGTCCACATTCCAAACAGGAAGCAGGCAGAAGGCAAAGGAACTTTTCCCCTGGTATTCTGTTTTGCTGCATAACAAACCATTCTAAAATTTAGTAGCTTAGAAGAAAAGAGTTTATTATTTCTCACAATTCTATAATCTCGACTGGCTTAGCCAGCCATTCCTGCTCGATGTGGTATCTGCTGGACTGTAAGTCCAGAATGACTGCTTCCTCTCCCAGTCTGCTACCTTAGCTGGTATGGGTGGAACAACTAGCGGCTGGCTAAGGATGCCTGTTTCCATGTGGCCTTTCTATGCGGCTAGCTTAATCTTTCTCTTAGGGTAGCTGGTTTTCGTGGTGTCTTGGGAAAGCCGGAATCTCACTTCTGCCACATTTTGTTTGTCAAACCAAGTCACAAGGTCCAGGGAAGGAGAAATAAATTTTCATCTCTTGATGAGAGAAGTGGAATGTATGTTCAGGGAGGGATTGATTTGGTGGTGGAGGCCATTTTTGGAGATTAACTACCACATCTGGGAAAGCTTTACCTTTCCTTTGGGAAGGGCCGTCCTCCCTACAGACTTTTATCTGTGTCTCTTGGGTCAGAGCTGGGTCACACGGCCAGCCCTAGCCTCAGGGGAGGGTGGGGGTTCAAGTGTTTTGCTTTCTAGCTCTGCAGTAGAAAAAGGCAGAGGTAAAGGGGGTTGGCATGGGTGTTGTGTGAGCCATTCTCCAATTTCTGACCCACTTCATTTGTTACAGAAAAGCCAAAGGAGAGTGAATCTTTAGTGCCCCATAAAACATTTTAAAATCTTGTCCCTGTCACCTCCCTGAAACTCCTTCCCCACACTTGCCCACATGGCTTTTTGTCTTTCTTCCTTTTCCCTGTTCCATTCCTCTGAGCTCTTCTTCCATAGACTAACTTGGGCTAGTCAAGCCTCTTCAGTTTTTGTGTTTTTCCTTCTAATTAGTGTATTACTTCGGTGCTGCACCAGAAAAGAGAAGCTGGGAGCCAGCCCAGTAAGAGAATCCTTCTGCTTAGAAACCAGGAGAAATGAGCAAGACAATGAATCCTCATGTAGTGATAATTTGGGCCCCTGTCACACATGTTTGAGTATGGGCTTATTTGTATGTGTATGCCTGTGTGTGTGTGTGTGTGTGAGATAATCTCTTCCCTAGACCCCATGAGCCTCTAGTAGCTGTGGCTGGAGCCCCAGCAGTGGGTGCCACTCCTGATTTTCTTATGGACATTCTCTAGTGGTTTCTCCTGGTTTTGTGGTAGATGGGGTTTCTTGGGCCAGTTTCAGGGCTGGGCAGCTGCAGTCCGGTGGACAGGTCCTCCTCTCTCCCAATTTGTGCCTGCAGGTATCTGGAGATCTGTTCGGCAGATGGCCAAGATACCCTCTTCCTGAGGGCCAAGGATGAGGCTAGTGCAAGGTTGTGGGCAGCTGCCATCCAAGCCCAGATCAACACTCTGGTGCCCTGGGTCAAGGACGAGCTGCAGGCACTGCTGGCAGCCACCAGCACAGCTGGGAGCCCGGACATCAAGCAAATTGGCTGGCTGACTGAGCAGGTGCCTGTTGGGCTGGGATCTATCCTTCCCTCTTTTCCCCTCCCTTGGAGCTGACCCCATTCCCATGACACCCCACCTTGGCCCTCTGACCTCTCCTCTCCCTGCTCCTCCTCACTGCTGCTTTGCCCCCTGCAGCTGCCCAGTGGGGGCATGGTACCCACCCTGGCCCTGCTGACTGAAAAGGAACTGCTCCTCTACTGCTGTCTTCCCCAGACCCGTGAGGCCTTGAGCCAGCCAGCCCGTACTGCCCCGCTCATTGCCACCAGGTACTGACAGGTAGGGGTGTGTGTCTCGCTCAGAGCTTGGGGGGTGATGCTCTGGATGGACCTTAGAAGTGGAGAACTCCAGCCCCATTCTGCCCTGAGTTATTCCCTAGTTGACCTGAAGCAAGTCTCTTCCCTGTCTGCTGATTTCCTTATCTATAAAATGGGGGCTTGGAACAGGACATGAGGTCCCACCAGTCACTCATACATTGGCACCTACTGTGACCAACCTGTGTTGCCTGGTTTGAGGGACAGGGAGCTGATCCCAATGGTCTGCCCTCAGGGAGCACCCAGTCTAGTGGGGGAGACTGGCCCAGGGACAGCTTCCAGTACAGAGTTGTGTGGACAACTTCATTCTTCCTGGCCTGGTTGGGGAAAGCTTCAGGCAGGAGGTGATTCTGAGCTGGGCCTTGACGGACAAGTAGAACTTTAGTATTTAAGAAAGAGTGGAAAAGCTTCTCATATGGAGAGAGCAACATGGTCAAAGGTACAGAGGCATGAGGGCCATGGTATGTTCATGGAACTAGGAGTGTGCTAAAACCAGTATGTAGAATCTTTGCAGGAAATGGAGAGAAATAAGACAGAGTGTTGGCAGGGCTTGATCTTGGAGACCCTCTATTGCCTGGTTAAGAAGTGCTAGTATCCTAAGTTGTATCCTAAGTTGTGGCAGAGTTGAAGGGTTTTAGCTTGGAAGTAAGGTGACTCAGCTTGTTTTTAAAAATAATCCCTAAGGCTGCCATGTGGAAAATGCACTGGAGGAGCAGAGTGGAAGCTGGGAGGCTGCTGTAGTCACACAAGAGAGAGGGTGGAGGCGGGTGGAGGCAGCAGATGGAGAAGAAAGGCTGCATTTGCATTGGAAAACACATGGGTGGTAAATTTAACCAGGCTTAATGCTTGCCAGCTGGGGAGGGTGAGGGAGGTGTCCGGGATGAATAGGTGAATGCAAGGTTTGGAGCTTCTGCCGGGGCAGTGGGAGTGCAAAGAGAGGAGGCTGGAGCAAGACGCTGTGTCAAGTCGTGTGGGGGACAGATAGGGAGTTTGGGTAGGAATCTGAGGACTTGTGGGTTTGTAACTCAGGGCTGGAGAATGGGAGACTGGGTGTCAGCCTCAGTTCCAAGGGGGAACTGAGGCAATGAGTGTATAGAGTGAGGAATGAGAGGGCTAAGGGCCAGAAGCCTGAGTCTGCTGCCCAGAGGTGGGCAGTGAGCTTACACAGCAAGTGGCAGTCAAGCAAGCCAAGGTAGCCCCGTGTCTCTTCGCTTATGAGCTGGGCTCTGGCCCATGTGTCAGGACCTGCTAGCTACCAGGGATAAGCAGGTCATGGATTGTCTACCTAATCAAGTGAGTCATTATTTCAGGCCATAAATGTTTATTAAGCACTTCCTATATGCTAGCCATTGTTTTAGTTGCTGAGAATACAGTAGTGAACAACTTAGATAAAAATTTGTACCCTAGATGATCTAGTGAAAAAGATAATCAAAAACCAACTGAAATAATGAACAGGTATAATTTCTGGTGTAATAATTTTTATAATGCCATGATGAAAAGTAAAGCCAGTTGGTGAAGGCTCCTATTTTAGATAGGGAGGTTAGGGAAGGCTTCTCAAAAGAGATGACATTTGAGCAAAGATCTGAAGGAAGTGAGGGAGTGAGCAATGCAGATAGTCAGGGAAGAGTGTACTTGTCAGAGGGTACAGCATGTGCAAAGATGCTGAAGCAGGAGTGTGCATGTTGTGTTTGAAGACACCTAAGGCTGGAGCTGCGGGAGCAAGGGGGAGGTGGAGGAGATGGTCTGCTGTGAGTCAATGAATGCCCATCTGTAAGTCCTGTCCCCTCATTAGGTGGTAAAGGAGTCACAGGGGCCCTTCCCAGGTCACTGCCCCCTTGGTCTAGAACTGTTTCCCCATTGCCTGAGTCCTCATGCGTAGCCTTCTGCCCCATCCCCAGGCTAGTGCACTCTGGCCCCTCCAAGGGCTCAGTGCCCTACGATGCAGAGCTCTCTTTTGCCCTGCGCACGGGCACACGTCACGGTGTGGACACTCACCTGTTCAGCGTGGAGTCACCGCAGGAGTTGGCTGCTTGGACCCGCCAACTGGTGGACGGCTGTCACCGAGCTGCTGAGGGTGTGCAGGAGGTGTCCACAGGTGGGCTGGGTGGACCTGGTGGTGCTTCTCTGGTAATGAGCTGCTCATCCTCAGGAGCACTCGAGCTTCCTTCTTTAGGGAGCTTCTGGAGGGGGATAGAAAGTGGGGTTTGGGCCCTGTATTCCAGATGAGCAGGTGTCCTGGTAGGCGGTGAGACTTTTCCCCTGGGTTTTCTTGCCCCAGCTTTGTGATTCCACTGGTGGAGGATGTGTGAGGTGGCATGCTGAGTAGGGTTGCCAGATAAAATATAGGATACCACTTAAATTTGAATTTCAGATAAACAGCAAATACTTCTTTAGTATGAGTAAGTCCAAATTATCCATTGTTTATCTGAAATTCATATTTAACTGGGCAATTGTACAGGTCTGCAAGGTCTCCAAGAGCCACTGGTAAGTCTGCTGATATCTTTAGGAAGTGGACCTCCTGTCCATGTCAGAGTTTAAGCTCCCTCTTTCCACTTTTGGTGTTGCTGGAAGTGGCACTAGAAGTGGGTGTTGTTTCTGTGAGGGGCCATCTTTATGTATTTTAAGGTAGGGGTGGCTATGAGGGTAGATGTAGAGATGGCATGACAGACAGTGAGCCTCCCATCCCTGGAGGCCTTCAAGCTCCACTTTTGGAGTTGCCGGTGGGGTTGGAGGTGGGGCTTGTGGTCTCAGAGGTGCCGGCTGTACCTGTGTCCACATTGCCTGTCCCACAGCCTGCACATGGAACGGCCGTCCCTGCAGCCTCTCTGTGCACATTGACAAGGGCTTCACACTGTGGGCAGCTGAGTCCGGTGTGGCCCGAGCTGTACTGCTCCGCCAGCCCTTTGAGAAGCTGCAGATGTCCTCGGATGATGGTGCCAGTCTCCTTTTCCTGGACTTCGGGGGCACTGAAGGAGAGATTGTGAGTGGAGGGGGTGGGGCTACACTCTTCTGGAGGCCAGGCTGGATGGGGCTCCTGACCCTTCTCTCCATCCACCCTGCAGCAGCTGGACCTGCATTCGTGCCCCAAAACCATGGTCTTCATCATCCACTCCTTCCTCTCAGCCAAAGTCACCCGCCTGGGGCTTTTGGCTTAGGGGTCACCAGATGCACTAGCTCTGAAGAGGCGGTGTCCACCACATGGCCTGACCTGGCCCTCCACTGACTGCCTGCTCACCGCTGGGCTGGGGGAAGGAAGAGGAAAGGAAAAAGGGTGCAGAGACCCAGCCTGTGAGGGAGGCTGGGATAGTCTTGGGGACCAGGACCCAGACTTAGGACACAGTGGATCCTGCCTAGGATGGGATAGCCTCCCTGCTGTCCCATATCCCCCCACCAGTGCCTTTGCAGAGAGATATTTTATGTACACAGAAGCCATTCCAAGCCTAGGACCTGCCTCTGTGAGGATTCTGACCCTAGCCAACAACTGCCAGGCCTCCTAGAGGCCCCTAAACCACCCTCAGAGGCCCCATATGAAGCTGGAGTTCCTGGGGTCCATGGCAAGAGAAAGAGGAGGAGCCTTTCTGTTCATTTCTCCCTTCAGCTCCACCACTTTGGGGCATCTGGTTTTTCTCTTTGTCTTTTGGATGAATAAACAGCCTGTGGGTACATTGGCGGCCTGGCCCAGTCTCTGTGGTTCATGACTTGGCTTTTGGATCCTGCAGTCGTCCCCGTAGTCTCACAATGGATCAGACCCAGGGCTGGGCCCCTTTTTTTTCTGGAGAAGAGCAGGCCTTTAACCACAGGGCTGAAAAGAGAGTGTTTTAGTTACCTAATTGTAACAAATCACTCTAAAATTTAACAGCTTAAAAAAATTCATGTTTATTATTTTTCAGGTTCTGTGGGTGAGAAATTTGAATGGGGCTGAGCTGGGTTGTTCTTGTCTCAGGGTCTTTCATGAGGTCACAGTCAAGATGTTAGGTAGAGCTGCACTCATCTGAAGGCTTGACTGGGGCTAGAGGATCCATTTCCAATACTGCTCACACATATAGCTGGCCGTTGGCAGGAGGCCCCATTTCCTCACCACGTGGGCCTAACCATAGGACTGCTTGAGGTTGCTCGTAACAAGGCAGCTGGCTTCCTCCAGAGGGAGTGGCACAGAAGAGAGCCAAGAGGAATCCACAGTGCCTTTAATGACGTGGTCTTGGATGTCATATTCTGTTCCTTCTGCTTTTTTCATTAGAGTGAGAGTACACTCAAGGAGAAGGGAATTAGGCTCCTTCTCTTGGAGAAAGGAATGTCAAAGAATCTGTGGACCTATTTAAAATCATCGTAATGAGCCCTGGCCTCTGTCCTGCAGGAAGGAGAGCACTTGGAGCATGCTTTGTGGAACATTCTTTTGGAAGCTGTAATGTGCTACGTGGATGTGCATTTGCCATGTTTACAACTCCTTACTTCTTGCATTGGCTAGAAAATCAGTGACAACCATAATGATTACATTTGGAGAGCACTGGCTCTCTGGCAAGTGTTGTGCATACATTTCCTCAGTGGATCCTTGCCATACATCAGTGTGGTAGACACGATTATCTCCATTTAATGGGTACAGAGAGTGGGGCTCAGAGGGGGAAAATGACTTCTCTAAAGTCACACCGCGATGAAAAGCCTGAGCTTGGATTCAAACTAGGTTTTTCTGACTTCAGAGTTCTTTTTCATCTTAGATACTTCCTGGCCCTGCATTATCCATTAGAAATATAATGTGAGCCACATATGTAATTAAAAATTTTCTGGTAGCTACATTAAAAGACATTAAAAAAATAGGAAAATAATTTTGATAATATATTTTATTTAACCCAATATATCCAAAATACTTTCACTTCAATACATAATTAATTGAGATGTTTTACATTCTTTTTATTTCATGCTAAGTCTTTGAAATCTTGTGTGTAATTACACACACAGTACATCAGGTGCCAATTTTCATTGGAAATTCTTGATTTATATTTGTATTTCATAAAATTTACAGTTGAAAGAAGATTTTCATACCCAAGTTGTTCCAAATGTACTAAAGTTTTCCAACAACTGATTTGAGTATCAATTTTAAAGTAAAATTAAACAAATACAATTCAGTTCCTCATTCACAGTAGTTGCATATCAAGTGCTCAGTAGCCACACATGGCTAGTGGTTATGGTATTGGACTAAGCAGTTCTAATTAATCCTCCATGTGAGGAAACTGAGGCCCACATGAAGTCGTACAACAAGCCAAAGCTGGTTCTAGAAACATGGGGAGAGGAGGTAAGCAGAGATATTCCAGTCTTGCCTACCCATCCATCTACCTGCCAATCCATCTGTCAATTCACTGTTCATCTGAGAAATTTCTAGTGCACACCTACTCTGCTGGTCCTTGGGGCCAGGAGTTGATATGCTGAGAGCAAGACTGACAGGTTCCATGCACAGGGGAAGAATTCAGCAGAAGCTCCCACAACCAAATGTGTGACTCAGATTTGTCAGGCACGTGGAAATTGTAGCGAGGCTGTGGGGACCTGACCTGCTTTAGGGGTTTATGGGAGGTTTCTCTTAGAAGGAGACATTGAAGCTGATGTTCATCTGAAGGAACTTGCTAAAAATCAGCTAGTGCTGCAATGATGCTAGGGGAAAAACCAGCCCTCATCTCAGTGGCTACAGCAATAAGCATTTATTTTCATGCTCCTGAGGCTGCATGTTGACTAGTTTGACTATTACAAGATGGGCTTGGCTGGGTGGCTTTGCTCTGAGCTGTGACTCATGCCTATGTTCCTTCTGGAACCCAGGATGAAGGGGCATCAGCTCCCAGAGCATGTGCTTCTCATGGTAAGTCACTGGAGTTCAAAGACAAGTGAAATGCACAAGCACATTTACATCCTCTGTCTGCATTATGTCCTCATTCCATTGGCCAAAACAAGTAATGTTGTTGAGACTGATAAAGGTATGGAGGGAAAGGGGAGGAATATTGCCCAGTAACAGAACTATCAGCAACCAGAAGCGATTAGTCAGTTGGAAGGGGGAATAGCATTCCAAGTGAGAGATCTGAGGTGAGATGGAACATGGGGCTTCCAAACTCTTAAAATTGGGGGGGTTTGCTTTCGTCACCTTCGCCACCCAAGACACAACTGTCCAAGACTCCACAGTGTGGCGACTGAAAGTGGACCCTTGAGCTTGGAATGTGGTAGGTGAGTGGGAGGGTGGTGGGAAATGGTCCCTGGCTCCCATGTGGGCTGGAATGTGTGTGTGCCAGGATAGTAGGGGACATTAGGACTGGGTGTTGAGTATGTGTGTTTAGGTGGGGGCAGCATAATAGGTATTGGAGAACACTTCATGCTTCCAGCTTGGTCCCATAGACAAATCAGAACTGACCTGCTATCTCCTGCCTCAACCACGTAAGAGGGAGGGTGACATCTGGCTGTGGGGCTGCTAGGGGAAGGTCCAAATTTGAAAGAGCCAGTTTTATGAGGCTGAGGGACCTGGGTTCAAATCCTGACTCCTACCTGACTCCCACATTGAAGCCCTAAAAGTGACTTCCTTCCAGCTCTAAAATTCATCTCTCCTGTGATTCTAAGCGGACAAGACAGAGTTAAGAGAGAAGAGCCATGGTAAAACAAGTGGGAAGTGAAATGGAGTTGGTGTGCCTGCTAGGACAGGGTCTGTGCTTGGAGATCACCAGAGAAGTAGGAGGGGCATTGTCTACCCTTGGTGTGATGGGTGGGAGGCTTATCCCCTCAATGTATCATATTGGTACCCAGGTGCCACCTTGGTGGGGATCTGTGTGGCATAGGTGCACCCACCCCCATGGTCAAATTAGGGCAGGACATTTTCCCTTTGTAGTAAAATATTTGATGGTAAACTTGAATATTTCTCCAACTGGAGTCTTTAGATCTCAGTGTCCAGAAACTTGTCCCTAGAGTCTAAGAGTTTTCCAGGAATTCTGAATTGTACTTTCATGGTGCTGATAATTTCCCCAAATGATCAGCTCACAATGTGGGTGAGTGTTTCATCCTTGCCGGCTGGGGACATCCCTGGCCCATTTGCACATCTGGGTACATACTCCCAGGAGCCCACAGATCACCTGGACGCCTGTCCACACACCAACAAAAACATCCATGAGCAAACAGGCCACACACATACCCACATGAACACAAAGGTACACACATCCTAGACCCACACACATCCTAGAGCTACACACCCACTAGCAAACAAGACACATGTCACAAATTAATATCGATGCTCCTGTATCTGCTCCCAAGACTCATGCACACCCATGGGGAATCAGGGTGTCCATTCTGACCTGGACACTGGCATTTGACTTGTGAAGATAATATTGAACAGAAAAATGTCCAGATTTTGAAATTTGTTTTTAATTAAACAGTGTGATCAAGGCCAGAGGTGACTCACGGATAAGTGTGTGATCTGATGTAAAATAAATTTCTTCGTACAGATTGTTGCAAAAAAACTTCCTAGGTTGTGTCCCTTGGTGGTGAGGGAGAAGGGAGGAGAGGACAGGACTTTGGAAATAGTCTGTAGGAGACAAGGACAAGGGAAGAAGCAGATGCCAGTGAGCCGGCTATTGTGGTTGTTTCCAATAAGATGATGGTGGCCTGGGCTGGAGCTGTAGCACAGGGAGAATGCGAAAATGGGAAGTTGACAAATGTGAGGCATTTTAGAATTAGAGTTGATAGGACTTGCTGACAGACTGAATGTGGAGACTGAGGGAGAGGATGTGTATGTGGAAATGGAGAGCTCTGTATTAAGTCAGGGATGTTCACTGGTCACCCAAGGGGAGGTGCCACATAGACAGCTGAACTGTGGGTTTGTAAATCCAGGTGGAAACGTGAATATGGAAGTCTTTAACCTCTACCGCAGCGCTATCCAATAGAAACAGAATGTGAGCCACGTATGTAATTTAAAATATCCCAATATTCACCTTAAAAAAGTACAAAGAAAAAGAAAAAGTACAAAGAAAAAAATGACAATAATTTAAATAATATATTTTTAATCCAATATATCCCAAGTATTATTTCAACATGTAATCAATATAATTATGGGATATTTGCATTCTTTATCCACACCGGTGTGTATTTACAGTTAGAGCACATTTAACTCGCACCCAACACATTTCAAGCTTTCAGTTGCTACATGCCGGCTAGGGGCTAACAGATGGTTCAACGTAGCAGCGGAGGTTTTCAAAGCCAGGAGGCTGTATCCACCCCGACCGTATAAAAGAGGGACTTCTGTTGTAACATCCCGGATGGAAGGCGCAGCGGAACGGAAGTTGCGCGTTGCGCGCGCAGCGGCGGACTTCTGAGAGGGGATCCGGGCTGGCGGCTGGGAACTTCCGTTGCCGCGCACGACCCTCGGCCTGCAGGTGAGCCCCGTTCCCGGCATAGGTGGACTGAGCCAGCAGGGCTGCAGGGCCCCGGAAATCGCGGTGCTCAAAGGGAGGATGTTGCGGTGGTTACGGCGCGGACCCTGGAGTCAGACTGTCAGTGTTCTCGCCCTAGCCCCACTGCCCGCTCACCTCTGACTTGGAAACGTTACCCCTCTAACTCCCGAAACTTGGCTTCGTCACTAGTGAAATGGGGATGTTAGTAGAACCAGCTTTACAGTGTTGCTGTGAGAATTAAATACGGGAATCCATGGGAAGCGCTAAGCATTATGCCTGAGACTTTGTAACCACCCATCAAGCTATTTGGGATGTTTTATCTTTTACGTTGAGATAAGGCTGTTATCGCATGGTCATTGCGGCTATCAGTTAATTTCTGAGCACGTACAGAGACCCTTACATTGTGCTATGCAAGTATTTTACTTGTATTGTCACATTTGATCCACAACAGATAGGTTCTATCATCCCAATTTTGCACATGAAGAAATGGAAGCGCCCAGAGTTTAAGAAGCTCGCAGTTACCCAAAATTACCTGGCTAGTCAGTATTTGGGTCAGACTCTCACTCCAGGGCCCGTGCCCTTAACTACAACACTCTAAACTCCCTCATGAAAGAGAGTGTGGGCTGCAAATGCGCAGTTACTGATGACTTACTGTATGCTAAGTTGAGTTTTTAATATCTTCTTTAATTCTCACACCACCTCTGGGAGGTAGATACTACTTTTATCTTTATTTTATGGATGTGAATTTGGCAGCTCAGAAATAAGAATTTGACTTGCCCAAGGTCACACAATAAGTAAGGGGCAGAAATGGGTGACTTGAAAGTTCACACTAAAAGTTCACACTCTGATACTTGAAAGTAGGTTAGCATTGCCCCTGCCTAAAGTGCTGGTAGCAAATACAGCAGGTGATCAGGTTAGCGAGTTTCAAGCCACATCTTATTTTACACGCACAGCGCCTGCCATGAGCCAGTTGCTGAATGGGAGAAGCTAAAGGTGCAGAAATGAATGTAATTGTTTCTTTCTTTCAGGGACCTCCCAGCTTATAAAGGATGACAGAAGTATAAGTAATTAATAGCAAAGTTGATGAGTCTTGTGATAGAGAGTTAGAAGGAGGATGGAAACTCAGAGGAGGACCCTAACTTAGATTTTGGGGATGGTGGCCAGGACATGCTTCCAGGAGGAAGCAGAGACCTGAAAGCAGTGTGTAGGAGTTGGCCAAGTCAGCAGAGAGAAGATGTACCAGCCAGAGAGAACAGCATGTGTAAAAACCTAGAAGCTAGTGAGGATCAGTACAATGATGGTTGGTATGGCTGGAGTGGGGCAGTCAGGCTGATGCGGTGTCCATTTGGAAAGTATGTCTCCATCTCTTGTACTTGGAGTTACCTAGGTTCCCTCCTGGGAGGCATCCACTGTTTCTTATGCATTCTAGAGATATTGTGTGCATTTATAAATATGTACCTTAATATTCCTGCCGTCTTTGCTCCACAGATTGAAGTACAGCATACTACAGGTATGTTGGACAGTTTGCTTCCTTTTGTCATGTACAGATTCTGCCTTATTTTCGAATTGCTTCTTTGTGTATGGGTGTACCATGCTTACGTAACTAGTTTCATATTGATGATAGATCTCTTACATTGCTTTGCTATTAGAAGTACTGCTGCATTGACTATCCTTATACATTGATCGTTTTGCATATGTAAGAGTATCTCTGTAGGATAAATACCTAGGAATGAAAGTGCTTGGTTAAGGGACTCCTATGCTTGTAATGTTGATGGAAAGTGGCAAATTGCCCTCTATAAAAGTTGTGCTATTTTCCATCCTCCCACCATGTGTGAGAGGGCGTGGGTAGAAAGAATTGAAGCAGTAATTTGAGATTCTTGGAGTGTGGAAGGGGTCCCTGATAAGGCATATGGTCCCCATGTTGGATACTTTCTTGTGAAGGAACTCAAAGGAAGATGCCCTCAGATACTCAGTGGTTTTCACAGTATTGGGAGGCAGTGTAGATAGATGTCTAGGCACACGGTCTTTATCCTCAAACAGACCTTCATTTCAGCCTCAAACGTGCTGCTGTGGGAGCTCAGGTAGGTACTTCCGCCTCTCTGTGTCTATTTCCTCATCTCTGAATGGGGACAGTAATAGTGTCTGTTGCCTATAAGATTTCTCTGAAGATTTAATGAGTTACTACACTAAAGCCCTTTAAACTGTTCTGGCACAAGGTGCTATTTTGTTATTTTGTCAGGACTTTTATCTCATCTCTACCATCCCTTTGTTTTGAGAACAGAATGTCTGGATTTGCATCTCATCTCTGCACTCTTTTTTGTGATCTTGGGCAAGTTACCCCAGTGTTTTTACCTGTAAAATGGGGATAATATTTTTTTTTTTGTTAGGTTTTTGTGGAGATTAAATGATTAATACGCTTAAAGTGCTGAGATCAGTGCCCTGTACATTGAGTTCGATAAATGCTGATTATGTCTGTTCTTCTTTTGCAGACCTTGGGCTGTTTATTTAGCGCCATGCATCCTTTACGGTGTGTGCTCCGGGCACAGGGGTGTCTGAGGTTGGGGCCCTTGGCCTCTGGGTCCCAGCTGCAGCTCAGGACCTGCAGGGCACATAGCAGTCATCACAGCACCGCAAGTCTCAGTTCAGAAAGGCAGCAGGAAAATGAAGTTCGGAAAGATTTCACCTCCAAGCTGGACACAGGGCCGACTTTTCAGGATTTTTTAAGGAGTGCTTCAGCTCCTCAAGAGAAACCATCTTCTCCGGATGTGGAGGACCCACCCCCCTATCTCACAGCGGATGAACTTTTAGGAAGGCAGAGAAAAGGTTGGTTTTACGTTTCTTCTCTCTTTGGGCTTCCAGCTTTGTTCCTTTCCAACATTAATGGCCTCATTCTTTTTTTTTTTTGCCGCCCGTCGCAAAACGCTTGAGAAAACCAATGCGCCCGCTTTTATAGAGGCTGGCACCCTCCCATTTGGCCACCCATGGGATGGCATGATGTCAGGCTGAGATCTGATTGGTCCATGGGGCTCTCCGCCCTGCCGCCTATCTTTTTTTTTTAATTAAGGTATCATTAATACACACTCTTAATGAAGGTATCACAAGAAAAACAGTGTGGTAATTACATTCACCATTATTATCGAGTCCTCCCCCATACCCCATTTGGAATTTATTTGCGCATGTGGATTAAAGTGTGCTGTAGGGGACAGGGGTTGATACAGGAATTTAGTTTGAAAGGGCTTACCAGACTGTGAAACTGATGTTCTTAAAACTTTGTGCAAGTGTGTTTTACATCATAATATAGCCATACTTGCCTTCATTTAAGATGTTGGAAGTTATTGTAGGAAGTTGCCTCATTTTTATTTTGTGGCTTGTGGATCCTCTGGTCACTGCTGCTGCCTCCAGATGCTGGAGAACCTCATTTTGAGGAGTATTATGTGTGGATTTGAATTAGTTTTTCTCCCATGCTGATAATCAGCACTGTCAGCTGTTCCTCCCTTTCCAATTGTTTTTTATTTTTTATTTTTTATTTTTTTAAGCTTTTAAAAAATTTTTTTGTTATTATTAATGTACAATTATATGAGCAACATTATGGTTACTAGACTCCCCCTATTATCAAGTCCGCACCACATACCCCATTACAGTCACTCTCCATCAGCATAGTAAGATGATATAGAATAACTTCTTGTCTTCTGTGTGTTATACTGCCTTCCCCGTATCCCCCTGCCCCCACATTATGTGTGCTAATCATAATAACCCTTTTACCCGCTTATCCCTCCTTTCCCACCCATCTTCCTTCAGTCCCTCCAGTCTTGGGTTCTGTGAATCTGCTGCTGTTTTGTACCTTCAGTTTTTTCTTTGTTCTTATACTCCACAGATGAGTGAAATCATTTGATACTTGTCTTTCTCCTCCTGGCTTATTTCACTGAGCATAATACCCTCTAGCTCCATCTCCATGTTGTTGCAAATGGTAGGATCTGTTTTCTTCTTATCGCTGAATAATATTCCATTGTATATATGTACTTTATCTTCTTTAGCCATTCATCTACCAATGGACACTTAGGTTGCTTCCATTTCTTGGCTATTGTAAATAGTGCTACGATAAACATAGGGGTGCATCTGTCTTTTCCAAACTGGGCTGCTGCATTCTTAGGGTAAATTCCTAGAAGTGGAATTCCTGGGTCAATGGTATTTCTATTTTTAGTTTTTTGAGGAACCTCCATACTGCTTTCCACAATGGTTGAACTAATTTACATTCCCACAAGCAGTGTAGGAGGGTTCCCCTTTCTCCACATCCTTGCCAGCATTTGTTGTTTGTCTTTTGGATGTTGGCCATCCTAACTGGTGTGGGGTGATATCTCATTGTGGTTTTAATTTGCATTTCTCTGATGATTAGTGATGTGGAGCATCTTTTCATGTGCCTGTTGGCCATCTCTGAAGTTCTTCTTTGGAGAAGTGTCTGTTCAGTTCCTCTGCCCATTTTTTAATCAGCTTATTTGCTTTTTGTTTGTTGAGGTACGTGAGCTCTTTATATATTCTGGATGTCAGCCCTTTATTGGATCTGTCATTTATGAATATATTCTTCCATACTGTAGGATGCCTTTTTGTTCTATTGGTGGTGTCCTTTGCTGTACAGAAGCTTTTTAGTTTGATGTAGTCCCACTTGTTCATTTTTGCTTTTGTTTCCCTTGCCCGGGGAGATATGTTCATGAAGAAGTTGCTCATGTTTATGTCCAAGAGACTTTTGCCAATGTTTTTTCTAAGAGTTTTATAGTTTCATGACTTATCTTCAGGTCTTTGATCCATTTTGAGTTCACTTTTGTATATGGGGTTAGACAGTAATCCAGTTTCATTCTCTTACATGTAGCTGTTCAGTTTTGCCAACACCAGCTGTTGAAGAGGCTGTCATTTCCCCATTGTATATCTATGGCTCCTTTATCGTATATTAATTGACCATATATGCTTGGGTTTATATCTGGGCACTTTAGTCTGTTCCATTGGTCTATGGGTCTGTTCTTGTGCCAGTACCAAATTGTCTTGATTACCGTGGCTCTGTAGTAGAGCTTGAAGTCAGCAAGCATAGTTCCTTCAGCTTTATTCTTCCTTCTCAGGATTACTTTGGCTCTTTGAGGTCTTTTGTGATTCCATATGAATTTTAGAACTATTTGCTCCAGTTTGTTGAAGAAAGCTGTTGGTATTTTGATGGGGATTGCACTGAATCTGTAGATTGTATTAGGCAGGATGGCCATTTTGACAATATTAATTTTTCCTATCCATGAGCATGGGATATATTTCCATTTATTGGTATCTTCTTTAATTTCTCTCATGAGTGTCTTGTAGTTTTCAGAATATAGGTCTTTCACTTCCTTGGTTAGGTTTATTCCTAGGTATTTTATTCTTTTTGATGCAATTGTGAATGGAATTGTTTTCCTGGTTTCTCTTTCT